TAAGTGCGCCAATGCGGCCGTCCTGTCCTTTTTATAACATTTACGTGTAACCCACGATGGAAAGACATCACAAATATGCTTTTACCTGGCCAAAAGTCACATGATCGCCATGACATTATAGCCAGGGTATTCCACCTTAAGGTGAAAAATATGATGACTCTTCTAACCAAAGGCAATCTATTTGGGGCGATGCGTTGCTTTATATACTCGGCCGAATGGCAAAAATGGTGTTCCCCATATTAACATCTTACTATGGCTAGAGAAGCGTATCACCCCTGATAAAATTTACAATGTTATTAGAGCTGAAATACCTGATCCTGAGCAAGACCCTCTCCTCTACGATATAATAGTTTAAACCACATAGTTTAAACCACAAATCGCCCTGCATGAAAGATGGTAGCTCCAGTAAGAGGTATACTCGACCACTTTTCAAGGAGACACAGACAGGAGACGATGGATATCCGCAATACAGGAGGTTGTCTCCAGCTGACGGTGGTTACACAATAAAAAATAATGAAATTGAGTTGGACAACCGCTGGGTGGTGCCTTACAATCCTCTCCTGTTACGTACTTTCAATTCTCATTAATGTGGAGTACTGCAGCTCTGTGAAGTCTATCAAGTATATTTATAAATACGTGAACATTGGTAGTGATCAAACAGCCTTTACTATAGAGAATGAGAAAGATGAGGTGAAAATGTACGAAAGCGGCCGGTACATAAGTAGTTCCGAAGCAGTTCGAAGGATCTTAAGGTTTCCCATTCATGAAAGTTTCCCTCCCGTCTTACATCTCGCAGTTCACCTTGAAAACGACCAACGTGTATACTTTACCTCTAATAACCTGTCAGAAAACATAAAGAGTCCACCTCAGATAACGCTGCTAGCGTTTTTTAAATCTGCACAATTATGCCAAGACACTGCTGTACTCTGAAGTCCCTTCTTACTTTGTCTGGAACAAAAATAAATTTTCTAGAAGGAAGTAGAGGGCTGGCCCGGAGTGAGAAAAGAGCACGCTCTGGGCAGGGTCTACACCATTCATCCCAACAACACCGAGTGCTAAATACCACCTACGCCTGCTGCTCCATGAGGTTAGAGGACTTAAACTTTTGAAAACTTAAAGACTGTGAAACGGTATCGTCCATCCAAGATTTCAGTCTGCATGGATTGCTCGAAGACGACAAGCATTGCGACACTACTTTAGAGGAAGCTGCATTGTGCGATTGTCCTTTGAGGCTGCGAGAGCTATTTGCAATAAAATTAGTTTTCTGTCAACTCTCTGATCCTTTAAACCTTTGGGAGAAATAAAAAGACAGTCTCTTGGAGAATATTAAACAGCAACTGGAGAGATAATTGCAAGATAATGCGCAACTGCTCATAGATGAACTGGACAACAGATGCTTGATATTGATCGAGGATGCAGAAGTAGATCAAGCAGGACAAAACTTGGCACAATATGGATTCATCATTTATCATCATTACAGCCCTTCACAAGTCCACTGCTGAACATAGGCCTCCCCCAAGGAATGCCACAAAGCACGGTCCTGAGCCACCTGCATCCATCGACTTCCTGCATATCTTACCAGGTCGTCACTCCATCTAGTGGGGGGACGCCCAACACTTCGCCTGCCGGTACGAAGCTACCACTCGAGAACCTTTCTTCCCCATCGGTTGGCGGTTCTCCGAGCTATATGGCCGGCCCATTGCCACTTCAGCTTACTAATCCGTTGGGCTATGTCGGTCACTCTGGTTCTACTGCGGATATCCTCATTTCTTAGTTTATCACGCAGAGAAACTCCGAGCATAGCCCTCTCCATAGCTCGCTGAGCGACCTTGAGCTTCCTCATCCGGCCAGCAGTGAAGGACCACGTCTCAGTTCCGTATGTCATCACTGGCAACACGCACTGGTTGTACAGTCTCGTTTTCAAGATTTGACGTATACCTGACGAGAAGATGTGCCGTAATTTCCCGAACGCTGCCCAACCGAGTTGAATCCGTCGATTGACCTCTCGGTCGAAGTTGGACTTACCTAGTCGGACTATTTGTCCCAGGTATACATATTCGTCAACAACTTCGAGATAAGTGCTCCCAACAGCCACCGGCATAGGTGTTACATGTACATTAAACATGATCTTTGTTTTGTCCATGTTCATCTTAAGACCTATCCGTTGGGAAACACTATTGAGGTCATTAAGCATAGTGCTTAGGTCCTCCAGCGATTCTGCCATAAGGACTATATCGTCGACAAATCGAAGGTGAGTGATGTACTCGCCATTGATGTTGATACCGTATTTTTTCCAGTCCAAAAGCTTGAAAACGTCTTCCAATGCAGCGGTGAAGAGTTTCGGGGATATGACGTCACCCTGTCTTACACCTCTCTGCAATTGGATAGGTTTCGTACTCTGGTTCTGTACTCGGATAGCCACCGTAGCTCTACTGTACAAATACTTCAGCACTTCGATATACCGACAGTTAACTTGGCACAGCTATAGGGACTGCAGCACCGCCCAAATTTCGATGGAATCAAAGGCTTTCTCATATTGCACATACGCCAAACATAGTGGCAAATTGTACTCCTCGGACTTCTGTACAATTTGCCGAATGGTATGTATGTGGTCTATGGTGCTAAAGCCTTTTCGGAAACTGGCTTGTTCGGGAGGCTGGAAGTCGTCAAGTCTGCGGGCAAGACGATTCGTAATGACTCTCGAAAACAGCACGTAGACGCGGCTCAGAAGGGAAATCGGTCTGTAGTTCTTCAAGAGAGCGTTGTCGCCTTTCTTGAAGAACGAGACCACCGCACTTATGCTCTACGCTTCCGGTGTAATGCCACCATGGAGGACGGAATTAAAGAGCCTCTGAAGGACTTCAAGTACCGGTTTTCCACTCTCTTTCAGAAGCTCTGCTGTAATTCCATCCTCGCCTGAGGCCTTGCCGTTTTTAAGGTGCTGGAGAGCCATTCTAATATCGCTCAGACTGACGTCCGGGATATCATCGGAATAATGTCGGATAAGACTCGCTCTTGGATCGTTACTCACACTTGGGTGTGGCTCCAACGATGACGTGTACAACTGCCCATAGAACCTCTCAATCTCACTCAAAATCTCAGGTGCCCCGGAAACGATGCTGCCACATTCGGTCTTCAGCTTTGACAGTTGGCTCTTTCTGGCAGACAGATCTCTAGCAAAGACTTTGGAGCCTTGGTTCCGCTCGATCGCTTCTTCAATACAAGCTGTATTGAAGTTGCTTAAGTCCCGCCGCATGCATTTGGAGATCTGTCTGTTCAGTTGCCTGTATGCTGTCAAATCTGTTGAAAAATGTAGCTTCATCTACCGTCTAACAGCCATGAGATTAAGAGTGTGATCGGAGAGTTTTTGTGTTCTTCTGCATGGACAGTTTCGACGAGCTTGTCATTCATATCGTCCACTTCATTGCAGTCTTCTAGGCACTGAAAACGGTTTTGTAACTCAAGCTGAAAGGCTTCGGGACTTAGGATCAGAGCATGAGGGAGACGGAGCGTTGACTTCATTAGACGAGACCTCTCCAACTTAATGTTTAGGTTCAGTGTGCCTCTAACCATTAGGTGATCGCTGCTGGTTTTCACCCTCACGATCACTGAGACATCACTGAACAGTTGTCGTCTGGTCGTCATAATGAAGTCAATCTCATTTTTTGTCGAACCGTCGGGGCTCGACCAGGTCCACTTCCAGTGGGGCCGCTTCTGAAAGAAAGAGTTCATCATAAAGAGTCCCTCTTTCTCCATGAAGTCGGCCAGCTGCTGGCCTTTTGGGTTCCGTTACCCTATTCCAAATTTCCCTACTTTCAGCTCACCATTCATTCTTGTGCCTAATTTTGCATTGAAGTCTCCCATTAACACCGTATATTGGGTTTTGGAGGATTGCATGGCTCTAGAGATATCCTCATACATTTTTTCCACCTCCTCATCGGGGTGTGCCGAAGTTGGTGTGTAAACCTGTATGACCTTCAGCGAATACCGTTTGGTTATTCTGAGTATAAGGTACGCAACCCTCGTCGACACACTCTCAATCTTTACAACGTTGTTAACGAGAGACTTGTGGACGATAAATCCGACACCTCCTTGGGACAGATGGTCGCACTCCCGGTAATAGAAAAACTTGCCGGATTCGAGGATTACCGTATCCTCCCCCTCTCTTCGGACTTCGGATAATCCTATAATATGCCAGCGTAGCTTGTCTATCTCTTCTTCCAGCTCCACAATCTTCTCGTCAGTCCTCAGGGTGCGTGCGTTGTGTGTTGCCAGGTCAAGCCGTCGTAGGTTGCAATCGAACCTCCAACGGAGATTCTTAGCACCCCCTGCCCCGCCGTTACCATGGTCGCCACCGTAGCCAAGAATAGCGGGGCCGCCAGGGACTGGGGGCCGTCTATTTGTAACTTTATCCATTTGGGGGGTATTTACCATAGTTGCCACGCTTGGCGAGCGGGTTGGCAACCGCAGTTTTTTTTATTGTATTTTTCTGTTATCAGGAAGATGTTGCTGCCCATCTCCTGCCTGTTACCCTTTGTCGCCTTTTACGACACCCACGGGAAGATATGGGGTAGTGGATATTCTTAACCGCCACTACACGGCATATGGATTGCGTCAGCCAAAAAGATCTGCAGCAACTTTCGGTAATCGAGAATATCTGAGGGAGACCAATTATGACCGCGGTATTCTGAGAGAAGTGGTGTTCTCTAGTGAGGAGTTACTGACGGATGAACAGCTTTACGTTTATCAGCAGATCCTTGGCAATATTCCTTATCAATTTGCTTTTGGTAAAAGTAAGGAGTAACCATGGCATCGCCTTAGCTGTCGCATCGTCACAAATCGCAGCAACACTGTTGGAGGGTGGTAAGACAGCTCACGCTGCCTTCAAGCTCCCGTTAAATCTCATCCATGTCGAAACTCCACTCTGCAACATTTCAAAACAGAGTAATGCGGCCCAAGTGCTGCGCGATTATAAACTTATAGTTTGGGACGAAAGCACGATGGCGCATAAAGGTGGTTTCGAAGCACTAAACAGAACTCTAAAAGATATCAGAGGGAACGATGACATGATGGGTGGAGTCGCCGTGTTGTTAGCTGGAGACTTCCGTCAGACTCTGCCGATAGTGTCGAGCGGAACTCGATCTGACGAAGTTAAGGCTTGCATTAAGGCCTCAAATCTTTGGCCCTTAGTCAAAAAACTCTACCTTAATATAAACATGCGAGTGTACTTGAAGGGCGATGTTTGCGCTGGACAATTCTCCGATCTCCTCTTTAAAATAGGAAACGGAGAATATCCGGAAACTGAGGGCAAAATTACAATTCCACCAGATCTTGCCTTAGTTGTGTCGACAGTTGACGACCTAATAACCCGAATATATCCAGTTGTCCACAACTTACACAGCAAATCCACAGAGTGGCTGTGCGAACGTGCGATTCTCACACCTAAGAACGATCAGGCTTCCGTTATTAATGAGACTTTGTTGAAGTCGTTCGAAGGTGAAGAATATCAGTACAAATCTGTGGACACTGTTGTGCATACGGATGATGCTATACACTATCCTGTGGAGTTCCTAAACACACTCAACCCACCTGGTCTACCGTCTCACACACTTATCCTCAAAGTGGGAGTTCCAGTAATGCTACTGAGAAATCTCAATCCGCCTAAGCTGTGCAATGGGACCAGGTTGCATGTAAAAGCCTTACATGAAAACGTGGTAGAGGCCATTATATTTACTGGCTCTGCTCGAGGTGAATCGGTGTATATACCGCGGATACGAGTACCACTTATACCAACGGAGTACCCATTCCAGTTTAAAAGATCGCAATTCCCCCTTAAGGTCTGTTTCGCAATGACGATCAATAAGTCTCAGGGTCAGTCACTGAAAACAGCAGAAATCGATCTTAGGGGGATTGCTTCTCGCACGGCCAGTTTTACGTGGCCTGCTCGAGAGTGAGCTCATCTAACAACTTGGTCGTGTTAGCATCTGAAGGCAGAACCTCTAATGTAGTATATAAAGAAGTACTTTTAGCATAGACTAAAAAAATAAATAGCTCTTAGGTACTTCCTTAGGTAGTTTTCCTGCGCAAGCGAAGCCGCGGGCAAAAGCTAGTTATATATAAGGACATTATATTGTAGGATATTTTGATGGAGATTTAATTAAATGTATTTATTAAATTTCGTTTAAAAAAAATACCGAACCCACATTTCACACACTAGTTATAAGGACCACAGATAATTTATCTGTATAACTTATGTCTAATCTGCGTAATTACAATCATCAGTAAAGCCTTTATACGTTCTTAGCTGGACGTATTTCAGCAGAAAAGTCTCTCTTGGAAAAATTGCCAATGCTCACCAATCGATTTGAATTTGGATAACAGAAGACGTTACGCACCTTTATTTATTTATTTTTTACATAATGTATGTGTTTCTGGTACACAAAATTATTTGGCGGTGCTTCCCTCCACTTTCATTTATTTTATGGAAAAATAAAGAAAATGCAGTCACAATACAAAAATAATATTAATAGATGGTGGTAGAACTTCTTTTATAATCTAATCTCTAATCTTATATATCATTTCTGCCGCCGGTTTGAAGGGTGTACAAAGGTATTATAATGCGATATGGTTTATTTTTAAAGAAGAGGGGACAAACGAGCATGCGGCTCACCTGATGGTAAGTGTCGACCGCCGCCCATGAACAACTACAACACCAAGGGAACCACAGGTGCGTTGCCGGCCTATTAAAAAAAGTAGGCTCTTGACAAGGAAGTTGTGCAGGGAAGAAAGCTTCTTAATGATTTCTTATATTTACGCGAACACTACACATTTTTAATTAAAACTAATTTTACGGATTTTATCGCGTATATTAATCTATTTTATATGTACATAATTTCAAAATACAACAACTTTTATCGGACGTAAGTACATACAAAAAGGTCAAAATAGACCCTACAACTAATACACTTAAAACAACTACTGATTTAATAAAGAAATACTCCGAAAAATTAGATCTCGACGTGAATTCGACAATACCATCATGTGCCAAACCACCGAGGTTGTATGGGTTACCGAAAATACACAAACCAAACGCTCCACTACGTCCTATAGTAAGCCAGATCGATTCACCAACTTATAAGTTGGCTCAACACTTGGCTAAAATACTGTCACCACTAAGAGGACATACCAGAGCACACACAAAGGATTTATACCATTTTGTTAGTGAGATTAAAGACCTACATCTCGCTGACAATGAAACTATGGTCAGTTTTGATGTTCAGTCACTATTCACATGCCTACCTATTGAAGACTGCATGTCAATTGTTACTAGAAAGCTAGAAGATAACAACATGCCTACAGAATATGCAGTATTACTCAAACACTGCCTCACATCTGGCTATTTATTGTGGAAAGAAGAGTTCTACATGCAAGTAGACGGAGTGGCAATGGGCTCACCTGTATCTCCCGTAGTCGCCAACATATTCATGGAGGACTTTGAGGAAAAAGCCCTTCTTACTGCTCCTGTAAATCCAATATTCTACAAGCGGTACGTAGACGATACTTTCACAATTTTACCATCTGACAAAGTAACTGCATTTTTAAACCACCTTAATTCCATAAACCCTAAAATACAATTCACAATGGAGTTAGAGGCAAACAATACTTTAGCTTTCCTAGATGTTTTAGTCATCCGAAATCCTGATAACACTATTGGTCATACTGTGTACAGAAAAAATACCCATACCAACCGATATCTAAATGGTGAATCTCACCATCATCCTTCACAGTTAGCTACCGTGGGAAAATCTTTGTTTCAGAGAGCACGAGGGATCTGTGACAGAAAACATCTGGCCGCCGAGCTTCAGCACGTCGAGCAAGTACTGCAAGACAACAAGCTTCGGGTCCCGCGCCTACGTCACAGTGACCGAGTGAAGCCAGCCATAGTCGAGCGTGTGCCTGCTGTACTACCCTATGTCAGAGGAGTCACAGACAAGGTTGGCTACATCTTGAAGCGAGCTTCCATTAAAACATACTTCAAGCCGCTGAAGAAGATTGGTCAATTTTTACCATCCGTCAAGTGTCATATTCCTCTACAAGATGCAGGAGTGTACAAGCTGGATTGTGAATGTGGTCTCTCGTACATAGGACAAACAAAAAGATCTATTAAAACCCGCGTTAAAGAACATATAGCTGACGTGAAGCACCGACGTATCGGGAAGTCTGCAGTTTATGAACATGTTCAAGATCGTCCCCGCCATTACATTAGATTTGATAGACCACAAATCCTCGCAAAAGAACACCGATTCCTCCCAAGGATGATTCGCGAGGCTATTGAAATTAAAAAACATCCTAATTTCAATAGAGAAGATGGATGGGTGCTGCCATCTGCTTGGGACCCCATAATTAATAAAATCAAATCTAAACCTAAGTATACCACTGCTAGACTTCAAGATACCGTAAGCTCATTCTGCGTAAATCAGACTAAAAATTAATATTAAATAACTGAAGGTAGCCGGGCTAACTATGACAGCAGGACGTCAAACACCTCAGTCCCCCGTGACCACGGGTGCTGGAAAGCACCCGAAACGTCAGGAATATAAAAATAGATTAATATACGCAATAAAATCCGTAAAATTAGTTTTAATTAAAAAAGAAAGCTTCTTGTAAATCGCACAGTGGTGGACCGCCAATCATCCAGATGGCATGGATGGTATCGCGAGTTTTGTCACGATTTGTACTATATCTAGTATTTAGTTGTGTTTTTTTCTGCGCGTCCTAAACAACACTTTTGTGTTAGTAATTAATGCGATGCGAAATGTCAGTTTAATAATCCCATACCTATTGTGCGTGCATGCACTTCTCCTTTCTCGTGTAAAAAAGGACATTCTCCGTCACAAGCTGGTGTCAATGGACACGGTCAGTGACTTCTTTTTGCGTGTGTATTTCCCAACAATCTTGCGACAGCTAAAACCCTACTGTTGTAGGTACTGTTTACTAAATGCCGCTTTAAAGTAAACTCGAGTTGTTTGCATTTCGACATCAATTACAATGAGTTAAGTAATTCTTGTAGTACCTAGGAGTATGACTGCATTGTTGGTATAGTGGTTGTAAATACGACTGCTGATCATGAGGTCGCGGGTTCGAATCCTAGGTCAGGCCATAAAAATCAGTTATTGAGTTTTTCCGTCAAGACATTGTCAGTAATGATTTCTTATGTTTACGCGAACACTACACATTGAATTAAACAACTTTTACGGATTCTATTGCTTTTAATTATATTGTTTTTTATTGATTCCCGACGTTTCGAGTACTTTACAGCACCAATGGTCACGGGGGACTGAGGTGATTGGCGTCACGATGTTATCCGACTTTGAGTTAATCCGGAGTACCTCCAGCTTTTTTTTTATTATTAATTTTGGTCCGATCTACGCAAAATGAACTTACTGTGTCTTGAAGTCTTGCAGTGGTATGCTTGGGTTTAGTTTTAATTTTATTAATTACTGAATCCCAAGCAGGTGGTACTGGTGGAGACTGGGTACTCGAAACGTTGTGAATCAAAAAACAAAAAAACAATATAATTAAACGCGATAAAATCCGTAAAAGTAGTTTTATTCAACATTCTCAGTAGCTGCCCGTAGTCAAGAAGTTGGAGGTGCCTCACCAACGTGCCTCGGAAAGCACGTTAGGCCATTGATCCTCCGCCTGATCTCTCTCCGATCGTGTCGGTTTACCGTGACTATGAGAGTGAGGTAATAAGAGCTGTGCTTTCGCATACACTTTGGCACTATATAATACTGTCCTGCGCCGATGGCTAGTCTCCGTTGAGGCTGACCGCCGTGACCGAAATTAGTTCTGAAGGATATTATTACCTATGAGTATGTTCGAGATTACATAGTAGGTTTTTATGTAAATATTTTGTTCACACAATATAAATACTGATTTGTTGATTGTTATCGTTTTCAACCATATTAAATACAATTCATTTAAACTGAAGCCCTTGAGTGATGACTGAAGGATCCATCAATCCACCTATCCATTGGAGCCTATAAAAATCCACTGTTGAACATAGGGCTCCCCATAGATTGCTTCACAGGGGATTGGCAGGCTGGCAGACAACCACCGTATTTTCTACCAACTTCAAAAAGGAACCGGTACTCAATTCGACTGTATGTTTTTTTTTTATGTGTAATAAAAATATTATAATATAAAAATATAAGTCATAACTTCTTACTGGGTAACCGACTTCGATAATTCTTTTTTTATTTGAAAGCTGTTGCTTTCCATGTGGTCCCATATAAATTTTATTTTAGCAATAGTTTTTGAGTTCTTCTTAATAATTTATATTGAAGTCGGTTGTACATAATTTTTAATTTTTAATTTTATATTTTTGAGTTGTTATTGATGAAGATGCTGCTGCCCATCTCCTGTTTCAGTTTCCCCCGGTCGCCTCTTACGACACCCACAGGAAGATATGGGGCTGTGGATATTTTTACATCGCCACTACACGGTTAACGATAATATCAGCTAGAACAGTTGATATTGATCACAGTGACAACTATGAGATTTTCAGTCAGTAGTCGATACGCGGTGGCTTAAAGACACCCGTTCTAACCCACGCAACAATTTAATGTAATGCTATGAAGTGGGCTAGAATAGTGTCAGTGGTACGCGGTATATATACAATATAATTACTACCAGCGATATTTCCAGACCAATACGACTTAGGGACCTTCAAGATAAGAGCTTATTCCTTTTTAAAAGGCCGGCAACGCATCTGCAATTCCCCTGGTGTTGCAGTTGTTCATGTGCGGCGGTAGTCACTTACCATCACGTGAGTCGCATGCTCGTTCTCCTATTAAAAAAAAACATAAGCGAAATCCAACAATTATATTTGTGCACAAATGTTGGTCATAACTGAGATGCACCGACATGCTAAATCGGTAGAAAAATAAATAAAAATCGGTCCAGCCGTTCCGGAGATTAGTCGGAACAAACAGACAGACAGTAGACAGTATATACTTCCATATGCATTTT